TATTTGATGGGGTTTACAATCAATCCAATGACTATAATAAATTGAGACAACAAACTAGGACAATAAATTAAGTCTCAATAGCATTACTCTACTTTGTTTTCTCAAAAAAAATATAAGAAGACTATGATACCCAAAAAAAATTCAGTATGGTATTTTCAACATTTTATAACTTTAATGGGTGTGTTTTATAATTTTTTAGGTCATTTTATAACAAAACAAATTTACAATCTTTTGTGGGTAGTTTATGTGGGATTTCGTGTTTTATATAAATATAAATGATATTAATTAGCTAGTATTTTTAAAATGATTAAAATGGTAAGGGTAACTCAGTAAATATATTAATTTTGTAGGTCAAAATAAAATTATCATTAAATTCGGGATGTTCTAAAACCTTGAAATAGACGTTTCACCCATATAATGATTCAGATGAGTAAAATAGTAATTTTAGTATTTCAAGGATAAATTGACTTTGATTTTGAAATAAATTATAAAAAAGAAATATTTTTAAGTTAAAATAACATTGAAAATGAATCCATAATGTTGAAAAATTTTAGGGTAATCATAAGAATTAAATTGGGAATGTTTAGTGGTAAAATCGTAATTTTAGAAAAAAATATTATTTTTTTTTTGTTCCATAAACAGTAAAATTCGAGATGTTTGGGTTTAAAACCCTAATTTCAACCTCATTTCTCCCATTATTTCATTTTACTCTCACCAAATACTTTTTAGAACCCTAGAAGAAGATAAATGAAAGGAGAAGAGGGAAGAAGAAAGTCTCTAAACCTTGGGCTTTGCTTGAGAATTCTAGAAACTTAACTCAGAATTTTTGATTCTTAGGTGAAATTTTTCTCTTTCTTGCATTTATATTATGCATCTCATGTTTTTTCTTTAACTCAAGCTTACTATGTGTTTAATGATAAAATACTTATCATAAATCTTAATTTAGTGTTGAGTATTCCACGATTTGTAAACTTACATGTATAAAAATAATTTTAGTGTTGTAGATTTGAAACTCTAGTTTGATTTTAATTATGAATATTTGATTAAATTTATGATTTGAAAGTTTGGAATATGCTATGATCTTATACATAATATATATGACTTATTCTCTTAAAAATGATTGTGTTACCTTGAAAATATAAATTTTGAGATTTTGAGCCTATGATTTTTAAAAAGTGTATGTTCGATACTGATAATCAGAGAGTTAGTAGACTGTTGGACTCTATTGAGTGGGTTGCCAATGTAGTTACTTGTCCTAATTGAGACTAGTTATTGTAGTGGTTTTCAATGATGACCTTTGTGGTACCACAAGTTATGTCCTACACATTTCCCTTGAATAACAAAAAGGCGATGAGACACAAGGGTCTCAAAAAGTTTCTTAGGGATGGTTCATGCGTGAACCAATGTGATTGATTATATTGTCCGTATGCGAGACATGCATAATATTTATTATAATGGTTTGACTTCAAATACATAAACCTTTGATTTATAACCTGTATATTTCAAATGATGTTGTATTGGAAAATTTTCATATATTTCAAATGATGATGTGTTGAAAAATTTTCATAAATGTTCTAATTATTACCTTGTACCTATTCTTCATTATAGAAACTTTTCATTAATTATTCTTATGGTTTGTGAAATATTGGTATTTAAAAGTTTGTAAATAATTATCCTACTAGGTTATGGTTGCTCATCTCTTATTAATATTTTCAGAGACTAACATGCATCTTGGGGTGTAGGTGATAGAATGCTTGTGGGAGCTTGGATTAGGAAGAATCTCTTTTAGAATCTTTTGTTATTTTTCTTTAGAACTTATGTTAAAATGTTAGCACACAAACATTGTGTTTGGAAAGGTTGTCTTCAGACACTTGTAGTGTACACTTGATCATCCCATAGAGGGGTATTATTTTGGATATTGTAATATAAAGCTATGACTATTGTTATTAAGTTTTGATATATATTTGTATTTGATGTATTCGGATTTTGGAGGACTCTGTAGGCCTCTAATTGCCACTCGACTTTAGTTGGATTATATTTTGATGAATGCATATTGTAGATGTTTAGTTAGTTTGAATAATGCTATGCTCTCACAATGATATTTTTACTAGTTGGTTAGAAATCCGATTTTCAAATAAAACTTTATCAATTTTTTAAAAAATATATGTTTTGATTAAACCAAACATTTCATTTCATTCAATTAACATTATAAATCGACAAGAGATTTTGGGATAAATGTTATTTTTTATTAAATCACGCTTCAATGAAAATTGGGGCGTGACAGTTTACAATTTTTGTGGGTATTTTTATCACTTTTGTGTTAACTGTTTTTAAATCTTAATATTTTTAGAATTGATCACAAGATACCATAAAAGTGATAAGAATAGTGAACACAAAAGTGATAAAAACACCCACAAAATTATAAATGATACTATTGTACAAATTTTATTTTTCATTACCGCAAACTTACAATTACTTGTGGGCAAGAACGAGCCCTTACTACTTTTTTAACTTTCACACGTGACATTACGGGTTAGAATTATTGGACTCAGATTCTCTCCAATATTCTATTTATTTAATTTTCTTTTTGATGGATCTTCAACCATTAAATGCATGATAGGTGATTAACCAAAAAAAAATTGAAAAAAATATATATTAAAACAGATTTTAATCCCGAATTACCTATGACCTTCTTCCTTCAAATCCCATAATAAAACAAAAATATTGTCAATGTGTATTAAGCAATATCTTGTACCAAATAATGCTTTGGAGTAGTACTTCCCTCGTGAATCTCAAATGCTGAAGCTACCATTCGATAAAGACAAGAAAAGGACTCAAAAATTGTGCAGGACAGCACAATTAGGGGTGCAACTCGGGCGGGTTAGACAGATTGGACAATTAACCCTAGTCTAACCCTAAGTATATAATCTTCAATCCTAACTCTAAATCTAATTCTAACCCTATCTCGGATTGGAGAACTCAACCTGAGCATTGCCCGAGTTTAAGTCGGACGGGTTTGGGTTGAATTCGTGTTGATGATTTCGGGTTATTTTACGGGTTCAATTTGGGTAAAGTTCAAAATAGACTTGTTGTTCTAAACCTAATACATATATTACATAATATTCACCTAAATTAATAACCAATAATTTCAAACAAGTTTTTAATGAGAGAAACTGAGAGAACGAGAGAGGCAAAAAGAACAAAAGAGACATAAAATAATAGAACAAAAATGAAAAACTAGTGCTAATATTTTATATATATATATAATTTTTTTTTATTTGTCGAGTTCGGATAGAATTCGAGTTCACTAGGTCTTAACCCGAGCTCAACCTAAATTGAATTCAAGTTAGAGTTTTTTGACCCAAGTTCAACTCAAGTATTAAAAATCTTTAGCCGAGCCCTAATTTTTTTAAATTGATCTCGGGTTGCTCAACCTATGGTGCACCCCCAAAGTACAATGACCACCGAAGAAGATAATATTTTGGGTCATACTAAGGCCAAAAATTACACTATGCAGTCCACCTTAGTAACAGTACACCTAAAAAGTTGACCAATCCCTTGACAGTTTCATTCATTATCCATCCAACTCATATATCACTCGTGTACCATCTCCCATCTACTAATTGGGTCCCAACAATTACCACAAAATAACTTTTGTGTACCTCCTATAAAAATCCAAAAATTTACTTAATTTTCTAGAATATCCTTTGTTATTTACTTAATTTTTTGGGTCTTTTTTTTATTTATAAAAATGACAATATGCTTTGTTTATCTTTTTTTTTTTTTTTACTTATTTGGAAAAGGGGATAGTAATCTTTAATAAATGAAGAGAAAAACATCTTGAGTTTTGTTTTTTTTATTTTTCACAATTATAATCCTTTATTTTTATATTTATTGGATAACATTTATGATCTTCTTTCTTATGGACCTCTAAAAATTGTTTGAACGTAATTAACTTAACAAAAATTAATAAAAATCAAAGTTCACATCTGATTTCATCAGCCTTCCAATACCCACCTCAGTTAATTGTGTGCAATCTATTGTTGTGGGCCAGTTGAAACTAGGTAGGCACTAAAAGCTAGGAAAGGTGACTGAAAAGCACTACCGTCAAGAAAAATAATAAGACGTACCCTCTATACCCACCGACACAATATTAAAATCGTCAAAAATTTTGATATGATAGTTAGAACTCTATAGGCTATACTATATAATGATTAAATGTGATTGAGATTGACCAAGAGTTGCCATTCGAATCTAAATATGGGTACTTGTCAAAATTAATTACCAAACTAACAATTCTTTAGTTTAGACTTACCCAAAAAAATTTATTTAGTTTAGGATGTCCCACTTGAATTCACGATGATATCTTATATAATATTAAAATAATCTGATAAAATTAACATCAAAAGGGTTCTAGACTGAACATCTCTCTTAGTAAATACTATATAGCATATACAAACCACCCAAAACCGTTCTCACTCGGTTAAATTAAAAACAAATAAATAAATAAATACAACTTTTATTGATAATCCTTATAAATAAAAAATTGAAAAAGGAAAAAAAAAAGGGGTTGTTAAAAAGCCAATTTTTTTGTTTCTTTAATTTAAAAATTAAACCCAATTTGCTGTTTTTCCCCTCCTCACCACCTGTCAAATAAGCCTGCCTTCTTTCTCCTCGTACCAAAATATTTTGAGTTAAAATTACACCAACAACTCTCTTTCAAGTATAAATATTTAAATTACAAAATCTCTAATAACTTAAGTTTTAAAATTAGATGCAACAAGCATGGTATCAAAGGATGTTTTATGTTCGAATTTCACTTTCATTATTAAAAAAAATTGTTAAGTTCAAAATCTAATCTAGAGGTGAGAGGATATATATAAATACTTAAGTTATACATTTTTTAGTAAATTAAGTTTTTAGTGTAGGTTATGAATAACAATATACAATACCATCACATACACAAATGCAGATCGGAACCGTGTTGAAATATAAATATTCTAACAACTTAACCGCAATGGTATGCACAAACCACCCAAAAGAGTTCACACGTGGCAGAATGACAAAAATAAATCCAACCTTTATTCATAATTTTAATGAATGACAAGTTGTAAAAGGGGAAAACAAGTTTAAAAGCCAACCTTTTCACTGCTTTTAACTTGAAAATTAAACCCAAGCACTTAAAAGGAAGAGAAAAGAAGAAGAAAAAAATGACTTCATAGAAGAAATTAGCTATTTTTGCCCTCACCATCACCTGCCAAATAAGCCTTCTTCCTCCTCTCAGCCCTAGCCAACAGACAAATCACAAGAAAACACGTGGCATAAATGGCGGCAACTCTCCAACTAGTCTTGGGCGGTTGATGCAACACGGCCCTGTGAAACACCGTCATGTAATAATGGAGGCCCACACCAAAGCTCACAAAAATCTGGCCCAGGACCAATAACTTCGAGACCAGCCCAGCCTCAGTAGAGAACACCAGAACCAAGTACATCAACAGCAGCAGAAGGTAAAATACATATCCAAGCGTTTGCAGTACCTGTACACAGATGTAGGTGGACTGCGAAGTAGCGTAGAAAAACCTCAGTGGCTCGAGACCAGTGACCAGTGAAGAGAGGCAGAGGATAGAGAAGTATATAGAGAGATAAACTTGGATGCAAATCAAGAGCTTTTGGAGAGAAAAATAGGCTTTGATACGAGTGAAAATGAGGGAGACTAGAAGGAGAGGGATTAGAATGAAGGCAAATGAGACTATAGAAGCAATGGTGGGTGCATATTCGTTACCCACAATGGATTTGAACCCTTTGGTAATCTCTTTGTTGGCTTTGGTGAGATAAACTTTGGAACTTTTAGATATTCTCTCCATATCTGGCAGAAACGCTTCTTGAAATTTGGAGGGTAGATCTCTGAATTCTGAGACCAAGTCATCTTCATCTTGTTGATCAAACCAACTTGGTTGTGTTGGTTTTTGAGTCTTTTGTTGCTTTGCTTGTTTATCTGTGGCCTGGTTCTTATTCTGAGTTCTGGATTTTGGTTCACTGAGTTTCTTGTCTGACTGGGTTTGGTTTGGTTTTGTGGTGATGGGTTTGGCAGTTTTGTTCTTGGGTGTGCCTGGTTTAACTAGATCTGAGGACTTCATGGTGAGGAGTGAACTGGATTTGGTTGAATTTGAGGCCTTTGAGGTGGAATTGAGCTTCTTGAGCTGGGCTTTGATGGTGGGTGTTTCTTTGGTTGAATATTCTGAGGTGGGTTTGATGAGTTTGGTTTTGTTTTTGGATTCATTGGAGGTGAGTTTGAGAAGTTTGGTTTGATTTTTGGTTGAACCTGTGGTGGTCTTGATGAGTTTGGTTTGGTTTTTGGTTGAAATTGAAGGTTTAATGAGTTTGGTTTGGTTTTTGGTGGACAGTGTACTGGTTTTCTTCTTAATTGCCTGATCGTGTTTTTGTGAATCTAACAGTTTTCTACCAAAAATCTCATTACTTCGTGTTTGGGTTTCAGTGTAGACACAGGCGAATATAGACGTGAAGACAAATACCAGAAGATAAAAGAGGAATACCTTTCTGCAACTGCAGTGTGGAAGTGAAGCCATGTACTGAAATCTATGTGCTGCTCTGAAGATGTAATGAGGATTCTAAGATGTAGAGCCTAAATTTGGCTCGGAGGAGAGAGAGAGAGAGACTGAGCGAGACTGAGAGAGAGAGATAGAGAAAGTTAATTGTGTGTGAAAGGGAAATGAAGCTATAGGAAGACTTCAATTCAATGCGAAAGTAGGAAGAAGATGAGATCGGTCACACGGCGCAACTAGACAACCATACTTCCCTACGCGGTTTTAACTTTTAACACTCCCATCCCATCTCCCTCTCTCTCTCTCTCTCCAACTTTGCTAAGACCTTTTCGATCTACCTCAAGCGTCTGAAATTGTCTTGATGAGTCAATCATTAATCACAACAAGTAATGGTAGCAGAATAGAACTAGTATTTCCAGTGTCAACTAGCTTAGCTCAAGTCAGTAGGAAGCTGGGTTTAACTTTGGTACCAAAAAATTAAGGCAGTTTCAATGAAAATCGGATACATGTAAAAATTAATTATTATATTATTTTACTTCAATCTGTTATTTTCACAATCAATGATTAAGAATAAATTAAAGAAAGATTAAAGATCCATAATCATTTCAGAGATGGTATGAAATTTTTTTTCCCCGAATACACTTATTTCAAAATTAACTCTGCAAGGTACCAGTGTAGTCTATCAAAATTACCTGTGTAACTCAATAAATTTTAGGCATAATTATACCCGGACCCGGACGTCTTGAAATTTATTACTTAATCAAACAAATTTCTTCACATTTGACAAATTAAGAGGGTAAAATAGTCATTTTATAACATCCGTTAGATCAGTTTGTCTTATGTTACTAATAAGGGGTCTTAGTGTAATTTGTTAAATATGAGGGGATCTATTTAATTAAGTGATAAATTTTAGGGGCTCTTGATATAATTATCCCTAAAATTGAAATTTAGAAAATCAGGATTCATTTAAGTCATTTGCCGCACGCACATTAAGACTTGCCATTGTTTTAGATTAAATAACTCAAATCTATATCTTTTGAATTTAGGGACAAATCGGTCTTTTTGCTCCTGCTCTTATGGCTGGCAAGAATATGTTATTGACAGGGTGTGTTAATAATATTATTCATACCTAAAGGGTCTATCTAATTAAGTAAAAAAATTTAGGAGGTCTACATATAATTACCCTCTTTTTTTTTTTTTTGCCCTCCTGTGGGATTGTAAGGAAACAGTGAAGACAGAGATGGTGTTGTGATAGTTTTCGGTGGATGCTTGTGTAGGTGAAGGTGTTGAGGGGAGGTGGGTTATGTTTGTAGTTTGTTTAATCTAATAGGTAGCGACAGTGGTGGTGGCTAATTTGAGGGTCTAGCTGTACTTTTACATTTTAGTTGGTTTAGTCACTCAATTTTGTCCAATTGAAATTTACGGTGGGGTAATTTGTCGAAATTAAAATCTGAAGGAGTTAACTGTAATAGCACTCAAAGTAGAAGTAACCAATTTGTAATTGAGCTTTATAAATCTCATTGTGTGAAATCATTGGACTTTAAAGCTGTGGAATAAATGGTAAAGGATTGGTTGGGATTCGTGGTTTGACTCACCCATAACCCTGTTTATAAAGGCAGCCACTAGATTTATGATGTGGCATTTACACTTCTACGAGTGTGAAACCATTAGTCGAAAAGCTTGACTTCGATGCACCACCGTCCCCAGTTCCGACTAGACTGTCTTTATGTTTTATATTTGCTTTTTGGGAGGGACGATAGGGTAAATTGCACCAGAAGTATTTACATTTTAGCTGTTTTCATGGCTGCTAAACTTGAGAGGTATATTTGTTTTGCTATGTTGTATTCTAAGAAGTAAATAATAAATATATATGCAATTAACCCAATCAATAAAAATAATTTAAAATTATTCATGATAAATTACAATGGAGAAGAAGACAGACAGGAGAGGGAACAGGTCCCAACTGCTACATTAGATGCCTCCAATGCAGTGGGGCTTTGAAAATTCTCTACTCAACATTCTTGTCGAAGAAAGCTAAAGCTTAAGTAATTGACAACCAAGCATTTAAAGTCTGATGAGAGAACTCACACTACAGATAAGGTTGACTCCACATTATATTTACTCAATTTCATAATTAAAAATATGTATATTTTTTAATTGGGTACAAATTAATTATTTTTTATTCTAGTACCTTAAAATGTAAAGACCAAGTGAAGTAGCATAAGGTTATGGCACCGCTAGTGGGACTATGCCGAAGTGATCTATACCCATTGATTCGCATTTGGTTGATTTTTAATCATTGATTAAAAAATAAAAAAAATGTTAATTTTNGGTGTTGTGATAGTTTTCGGTGGATGCTTGTGTAGGTGAAGGTGTTGAGGGGAGGTGGGTTATGTTTGTAGTTTGTTTAATCTAATAGGTAGCGACAGTGGTGGTGGCTAATTTGAGGGTCTAGCTGTACTTTTACATTTTAGTTGGTTTAGTCACTCAATTTTGTCCAATTGAAATTTACGGTGGGGTAATTTGTCGAAATTAAAATCTGAAGGAGTTAACTGTAATAGCACTCAAAGTAGAAGTAACCAATTTGTAATTGAGCTTTATAAATCTCATTGTGTGAAATCATTGGACTTTAAAGCTGTGGAATAAATGGTAAAGGATTGGTTGGGATTCGTGGTTTGACTCACCCATAACCCTGTTTATAAAGGCAGCCACTAGATTTATGATGTGGCATTTACACTTCTACGAGTGTGAAACCATTAGTCGAAAAGCTTGACTTCGATGCACCACCGTCCCCAGTTCCGACTAGACTGTCTTTATGTTTTATATTTGCTTTTTGGGAGGGACGATAGGGTAAATTGCACCAGAAGTATTTACATTTTAGCTGTTTTCATGGCTGCTAAACTTGAGAGGTATATTTGTTTTGCTATGTTGTATTCTAAGAAGTAAATAATAAATATATATGCAATTAACCCAATCAATAAAAATAATTTAAAATTATTCATGATAAATTACAATGGAGAAGAAGACAGACAGGAGAGGGAACAGGTCCCAACTGCTACATTAGATGCCTCCAATGCAGTGGGGCTTTGAAAATTCTCTACTCAACATTCTTGTCGAAGAAAGCTAAAGCTTAAGTAATTGACAACCAAGCATTTAAAGTCTGATGAGAGAACTCACACTACAGATAAGGTTGACTCCACATTATATTTACTCAATTTCATAATTAAAAATATGTATATTTTTTAATTGGGTACAAATTAATTATTTTTTATTCTAGTACCTTAAAATGTAAAGACCAAGTGAAGTAGCATAAGGTTATGGCACCGCTAGTGGGACTATGCCGAAGTGATCTATACCCATTGATTCGCATTTGGTTGATTTTTAATCATTGATTAAAAAATAAAAAAAATGTTAATTTTGTTACACAGATCAAATTTTTATTAAATAAAATATATTTTTTAGTATCATAATTACACCCAAATGAATATACCAAAAGCAAAAAGAGAGGGACACGGAAAGTTGGCCTCTATGGTTTTTCAGTGAGAAATCATATTGTAATTTTGAGCCAGTAAGATCATAGATTTCAGCATCCCTTTTTCTGCTCTTGGAATTATCTAATGAACAGTACGTCCGGTAAGAGTAAGAGTGCTCGACAAAATCTACCACCAACATTTATTTATTTTTTATTGCAAACAGACTTTATAAAAAGAAAAATGTTATTTTGATCTATTTTGCTAATTTAATACATCACAACTGGAGATAGTATTCTTAACTCATTATCCATTAATCGGTTCAATTTGTCCATAAATTAATTAGTTGGATAATTGGAGTAATTTTAATTAGGCACATTAAGATGAATTACTAATGAATACCCATTGTGTTGAGTATTTATCTTTCTATTAAATAACAAAAATAATAAAATCAAATATCTATATAATAAAACAGATAGGTATTTGAAATTTTATCTCATACATATTTTCCCCCTAAAACGATTCTATCACCCATTTCTATAACATATTTAATCACTTAATATTTTATTAATTTGTATTTTAACATAATTTTTATTTCAGACATTATTCATACACGATAATATATACACGTTGAGAAAATTTGTCGAATTACATATTTTTGTCGATATTCTTTGAAAAATAATGAATAAAAATAAATTTTAAATGATATAATCAAATAAATTAAGGAAATAAAAATTATTATTTAATATAGTGGGTTCGATTTTTAGACGTTTGAATTTTTTGTTTCATCGTGTCTTTAGGCACGAGTTATGAGTAATACATTGATATACCAAGAAACACATACACACATAACTTCGGATCTGAACTTGGACCCGTCCCCGACCTCAGACCTAAATTTAGACCCAACCCCGACTCGACCCTAGATCTAGACTCGACCTGTAACCCAACACTGACCTTGAATCTGACCTAGAACCCAAACCCAACCTTGGACCTAGATCCGAACCCATACCTGACCCCAAACCCGAACCCGTAGTTGAACCTCGACCCTGGTCCCCAAACCCCAACCCAGTTCTAGGGTACGTGTGTATTTCGATGTAGTAGTGTATGTTTTGGTGTACACGTGTACATGTGTTTGTAAGTATTAGTGTGTGTAAGTTTTGATGTACTACTATGTGAGTATGTTTTAGTATATTAATGTGTGTATATTTTGATGTGTTAATATATGTGTTTGTATTTTGGTGTAATAATATATGTGTGTGTATTTTTCGTGTTTTATTAAATAAATTTTTGAGTGTTGTGTGTTAGTAGATGTGTGTGTGTGTACTTTTAGTGTATTAGTGTGTATTTTTTTCTATATATTAACGTGTGTATTATTATGTGCTTATATTAAGAGTTTTAATTATTTGATTGGTTAATATGTTTAACTCAACTTGTTATGATCCAACCTATTTTAACCTGTTTATTAAATGGATTGAAAATGGATCGAATTTGTTTTGCACACAACTTATTTTGAACAACTCATAACTAACCCAACTCGTCCATTTGCCACCTCTAATCACAGCCATTAAATTTGTAACGAGTCCTAACCAATATTGAAATTCACTATCAATTTAATGATAATAAGTCAGTAAATTAAATTCAAATAATATTGCTATTACATAAATGTTGTTTAGTCATCCACATTCAAATGAAGAACCAGTTTTGGTTTGTAAAAGCCATTGCTCAGTTTACAAATCATTCATCAAATTAGTAATTGTAGTATTATATGTTAAAATTGGCGTTTGTTCATGTCAACACGTAATAAGCTTTTTTTAATATTTTCACGAAAAAGAAAAGAGAA